CTAGAAGATACCATTGGTAAGTACGAGACCACATTCTACTACAGGTTAGATATCACTTTAATATCAATGTTAAATCTCACCAGAAAATGACAAGAATATTTGACTCTTATTTAATACCTTATTATCTGTGCCTATGAAGGGAAACAACAAAAACTCATGGCACGAAAAGAAAATCTGTTGTAAAAAATGCACAGTCACACTAGCTGGTAAGAAACCTGGTCATACAAATGACAGAGAACAGAATTAGTTCACATATGTGAACTAATAAGGCCATCTACGTTTGCGAAGGCTGTTTAACACTCACAAAGGCTTAGAAGAAGCTGCACAGATCATTTTACCTATTCCTATATTTGATACACCCCAATCCTTTCTGATTTACTAGCTATAAGGATTTCATTACCTCACAGAGCACCCCAATCTGTTTTCAGAAAGTTTGGTTGGAAAGTGTTTTCTTTCTAGGAGCCAGTATGTGCTTCCCTATAAATGGTTAACAACTGATTACTCACAAAATATGATACCTTTTTAAGATAAATTTTCAAATATTTAAAAGTAGCCATCACTTTTAAAGTCTTGTTCCTAGCCTTAATATCTCTAGTTCTTCTACTAAGTCTGGGCCTCGTCAGCACTCTGGCTGTGTGCCTCTGGACAGGTAAGCTGATCAGTAATGGTTAAAGACTACTAAGAAACCAGGACCCCTGACTTCTACTTGTGACACTAATCCATGTACTTTACCTTTTAACTTCCACTTACCTCTTTGGTATAACAATGCTTATTTGGTCTCCCTTTTTATTTTTTCAATTTAAAAAGCAATTATGTGCAGTACAAATGTGTTGTCTCCACCCAAATCTAGGTCTGTGCTATATATACTTCAAGCACCAAGAATTAATTATATAGCCTTAAAATATTCTAAGAAAAGAATACATGTACAATTAATCAACACCCTCTTCTCTAGTGGAAAAGCCACCTTCCCTATTGCTAAATACACTGCAACTGAAAAACTGGGATATGACTGACATAAGATAACTCCAAGGAGTGGCTCTGAAGAGGCTGTTACTACTTTATACAGTAAATACCTTTTAGCAAGCCCACAGCAGCTTCTGGAGACAACATGAAGGAATCGAGGGAACGGGCAATCTCCAGGAGTCCATTAAAGTGCTGAGCCATGTGATCTCGGCAGACAGAGCAAATGTTATGAATGGCTTTAGCTGCAGCAGAAGCCAGGGGCTTTTCACACAGGCCTTTCATCAAGTAGCCCAACACAGGGTCTAAGGAGAAAAGCCAGGTAGTGATTATATATCTGAAACTTAAAAAAACTTCTAGATTGTTAGAGCAGAGGTTTACATACTTTTTCTTTTAAAGCAAAAGAACCCTTTAAAAAAATGAAATGTGTTCAGAACCGCAATATACAAAACATATAAAAATGGAGCTGATATCACTGACACAGTGTCAGGAGGCCCTGAGTTCTATTTCATCTTTCATTTCTTCCCTCATGGCAGTCAACTATTCCTTGTAACCCTAGGAATTCAGAGAGCACAGTTTGAAAACCAATGACTTAAGAGCACATACAGCCATCCAAGTATTATGGTCATATAGAATATGGCAGTGCAAGAAAGAATACAAAGCTCAGAGTTATAATTATACCCAGAGATGAATCACTTGGTAAAATAGCCTACATGTATCAAGACAATGATAGTTGTCTAAAGCTTTTATACTTGCTTCTTCTAGTTACAAACAGCCTTAAAAACGTACAGATGAATCTTGAGTACTTCTAGATGAATTAATTCACTATGTTTTAATTTTGCCAAACGTAAGAGTTCCAAGAAAGTTGGAGTTGTTTTCATTTGTAGAGACGTGGTCTCACTACATTGCCCAAGCTGGAATTGAACTCCTGGGCTCAAGCGATCCTCTACCTCAGCCTCCTGAGTAGCTGAAACTACAAGTCCAAGCCAATATACCTGACATTAGATGA